GCTTTCTGCTACGTCAAACGCAAGAGAGCTGTAGCTGGCTATGTCATCACTGTAGCAGGCTCATGTTCGTTGTCACGTGGGAGGCTGGCAGAAATACGCTGCAATGTGTTTAAAAAAATGCCGAATCAATCTAAAAACCACTTTGGCGACATATACAAGGCCCACACATCACTCTTAGAAGGTAGAAAGCTCTGAAAATGTGATTTTGCATGAGATGGGCCCTTTAAGGAAAGTGCAAGTTCACCATGGGAGGGGAGTGGAGCCAAACAGTTTTAGGACCTCCTGTCACCTGCCTGTTAAAGTTTCCCTTTTTGTATATTTTGTATGTCCTCAATTATGTGTATACTCACTAAAGAGTTTTTACTGCACTTGAATCACTCTCCGTGGATTGTTTCACTTTTGAGGCATTTTAAAAGGTGAAACAAGGTGTGCGATGTGTCAATTTGGCTTTCCAAATGTTTGGACCTTACAAACCCTTAATTATTAGTCTGTCTACATCTGCAAAGCTCAAAATGCTGTTCCACCTTGTGATGTCATGAAGTAGTAATTTTCAAGTTAACAGCTACTTTTTACCTTGTTCAGTAGAGACTGGCAATTCCAGAGCTGAAATAATTGAAATGACTCTAAAGGTGGTGTTTTCAGTTTGAGAGATTTGTGTGTTAAACATGTGTGACTGAAACAAAACACAACTCCAGGTCTGTTTGTAACGAGGAAACAACATTATAACATAGATCAGAAAATAGCGTAACAAAGGCCCTTTAAATATTTGCCCTTCAATGACCTTGAACCTGTTTTGTGCACATATTACCTCTGATCTGAGTGAGCACTCCATGTATCTTCTCTAGTTTTCTAGTTGTAATATCGATTAACAGGAAAGAGGAGGAGTACGCCACCTGCTTATATCCGTGGAGATGTTATTTCCTTACCTGGAATGTTCCTCAGTGTAGCATTAAACTTTTCTTTTTACATTCAAGTATAGGTGTTTTTATTGCTCAGATCTGTACTGCTCAAGTGCTGTGCCACCACCTGTCACCATGGAGATAGATAAGTTAAATGTCATACTGTGGAACATTTCAGGCAAAGCAATGAAATACCAAAGGGGACGTGCAGTTCATCTAACCAGAAAAGTTATATTTATGGGCAAAAGAAGTCAGATACTTATTTGCATGCAATTATTTGGTGTTTTATTGTCAGAGAATCAGGAAGTGTGTGTTAGCATGCTAGCTGTTGTTAGCTTGAGCATCACGGTACAATGCTCAGAGTTGTGAAAAAAGACTTATAAACTACTACGATAACTATAATGCCCAAAATGCATAAGGTAGTGAGGAATAAGTTTGGACGGCTGCGGTTTTAAAAGAACAGTGCCTAAAAAATGAAGTTATCCAAGTTTGTCCTTAAAATACCCCCTTTTGCCTTCTCATCTTTAGTGTCAGTTCCATCTGTTTCTGTTAAAGGCTCCTGAGATTATAATGTTTTGCATGTGTTTCTATGAGGAGCTCCTATTTCCTCCCGTCAGACCAAGATGGAGTCTAAGATGTCATAATATACTGTAATCGAATCAGCCAATGCTTCTCCCTCTCATCCCTCTCAATCAGTGCTTTGTGTTTCCTCTTTGGGCCAGATATAAACTGGATGTATCCTGTTTACACCATCAGTTAGGTCCAATCAGAGGAGATGATCAGCCATAGACCTATAATCATGATTTGATAGATCAGATCTTTCTAGTGGGATCAAGTCTGGGATCAGGAAATGACATAGAAAATGAAAGAGACTTATCAGCATGTTGTGGATTTGGAGGTCAGAGTTCATCAGTGGCTAATTCAATTTGGCTGAAGTTGTTGTTTTATGAAAATCAGCTGTTTCCACTCCCATGTGGTTTGTGTTAGCACAACCTCTCAGTCTAGTTCATGTTTAGTGCAGAATTGTAATAGACCATAATTCAATAGGTCTTTATGGTCCAAAAAGGTGAATTGTTAAAATAATCAAAATGAACAGTGCCTATAGCCAAAGTTTGGTGCCTTGTCTGCTGAGTCAGCTCAAATAATCAACGATGAAATACATGACTTTTCTTTGCTATAGGGTCATGGTTGATTGATAATAGACAGTAAATAGAACATAAAGGAATAAAATATTAAAAATGATTGTGTTTTGAACTCAAACCCAAAAGGCTTTTGATACTTACGATTACTGTCAGACTCCATGCATTATACATTTGGTGGGAGCTCTTCTACAGTAGCCAGGGCTGCCCTGGGGCAGACTGATTGAAGTGTGGTTGGCAATCATTCACATCACAAACATAGATACAGAGGCAAAGTGGGTGAAGTGTTTTTCCCCACAGTCTGCACAGTCTGCACAGTCTGCAGTATGTTTGGAGCGTGGATTGATCCTCTGTCTACTACTATAATACCTGACCTTTACAAAGTGCTTCTTAAAGACTCTTAAAGCCTCTCAAAGCACTACACTGTGTATTCATCACTCATTCACAGAAACACTCAGTGGTGTGATAGTTCTGCAGCCACAGCTGCCCAAGGGCAGACTGCTGGAAGCAAAGCTGTGCCACCGGCCTCTCTGACCCCAGCCATCACTCACATTACATTCATACAGAACAAGGTGGGTGACATGTCTTGCCTAGGGACACAACAACAGAGCAAGGTCTGAGCGGGAATCATTCCTCAGATTTTTGGATTGTTTGGGAATGTCTAACCACTGAACCACTGGTGTTTATTTAGCCTCACTCTTCGTTCATGATGACTCTATAGTGACTCTATAGTAAATGTATATTCTGCAACAACATTGTGATTGAGTTGTATAGAAACATTACATAAGCATTACCTCTGAGGTCTGAGTCTTCTTTAGTGGACTGATTTAATGATGTTGTTTTTGCTCAGTTCTTTTGGCAGACCACAGGCTCCAGATTGCAGCACAGCTCGGCGTCCTGGCTGTGAGACGGAGGTGAGAGCTGTGTGGGTGAATCGTGTTCAGAGAAAAACACTACAGGGACAAGAGGGAGAGGGCCAGTGCAAAAAGAGACGGAGAATAAAAACACAGGGAGGGTAACAGCACAGAGAGGAGATAAGAGACGGGGGACACACACTCATGGTTTCCTATGAGACAGTTTGAGCAATGAATCAAATAAGATACATGTACATCAGATTCAAATCCTAAAATACTGGGGCTGAACAATTTGTGGAAAAATGTAAACTTTTCTGACAAGCAGTGCAATTGCAGTTAGATTTCCAATTTGTGTTTTAATAACAGGATTCTGTTTAAAGCTCACATTTTAAACACATTTAGAATAATTGACCAAAACTCACAAAATAATACAAGAATCACATGCTTATACAGATCTAAACTATAGGCTCAGCAGCTTTTACACAGAGAAAGGCTGGATATGTTCTTGTTTTTGGCAGAAATGATGGTACTTGGAAAAATTGCATCCATTCAAATAGCAATTTCGATTTGTTTGCAATTAATCTTGCAGCTCTAATGTCTATTCATGGATTTCAGGATCATCAACAATTGTAACGACTGTTGCCATACCAAATAAGAATTCACAACAATCTTTTAAACGGCCAAAAGTCCACAATACAGTACAAAGAATGCACAATATTGCAAACTCACCTCCGTATTGTCATTTCCAATGTTCAGTCCACTTTATGATCAAAGGGTGCATTCATGTTTGTGTTGGTTTAATCCTGGTTTAGTCCTGGTTTAGTCCTAGTGTTATTTTGGTCTGTAAGAGTCAAAAGAGCAGCCTATACTTCAAAACTATGTAGAAATCAGTTTGTCAAGACTTTTAGATAGGCTTGATTTATTTTACCTTACAGCTCAAGTGATATTCATTAATTACAGGTTGTGAAATACCAAATTTCACATTATCTCGATCGTTTTTCATCACAAAATCCTTCATTGTTTTGTCTGTTCTGAACTGTCAAACAGCTCTGAATTTGATCCCTATAAACAATATGAGTCAGGTAAAGTCAACACAACTACAAACACACAGGTTTAAGGGGGATCTGACTCTGCAATACACGATTATGAAACATGATTACACAGAGTTATAGGATTCAGCAGAGACATCCTTAAGATCAGTCTGTCCTGTGTATTTATAGTATGGTTTGGGTTGCCATGTTTGGAATGTAGCAGCTTTTGTGGAGAGTAGGTGTTTGCTTGTGTTAAGTATTGAAGCAAAATTTGTCTCGCCCCAAAAAATAAAGTAAAAGTAAAAAGCAGGTTTAGTGCATTTAATAGTTATCATTAAAAGGTGCACTGTGTAACATTTCGGGTGGAGATGTTATTGCTTTGCCTGGAATGTTCCATGGTATGACATTAAACATATCCATCCCTCCATTCATCCATTTTCTTCCACTTATCCAGGGCCGGGTCGCGGGGGCTGCAGTCTAAGCAGGGACTCCCAGACTTCCTTCACCACAGACACGTCCTCAAGCTCCTCCAGGGGGATCCCAAGGTGTTCCCAGGCCAGCCCAGAGACATAGTCCCTCCAACGTGTCCAAGGTCTTTCTCGGGGCCTCCTCCCGGTGGGATATGTCTGGAACATCTCCTGAGGAGCAGCGGCTGTACTCTGAGCTCCTCCATGTAACTGAGCTCCTCATTTCGGCCACTTGTATCCGCAATTTTGTTGTCTTGTTGTCTTAATCTTGACATTAAACATCTAACATTTATTCATTGCAGGTGTTTCTATTGCTCAAAAACACAATTATTCCTTCTTTGGATAGGGGCGACTCTCCGCAGATCTGAACTGTAACACCGCTTCGTGCTGTAACCTGCTTGTCTCCCTCATGATAGATAGGCTTAATCTATACTGTGGAACATTTTAGACAAAGCAATAACATTTACATGGAGACAAGCAGGCAGTGGACCCTCTGCTGGAAATGTTACACACATAAACAAAATACATTATATTTTTCCATTTTTTAGTATTTTTCTACACTAAGTTAATAAATAATACATGAAAAAAAATGTATAACGCATTCAAAAAGTTATACTTGATCTGTATTTATTTCCATGACCATCAAGATAGAAAAGTTACAAGCTTTTAACATGAAAGTCGTACAGAAAATAGTATATTTTACACACACAATTCTCACAATACTGTTTTTTTGTTTGTGTTTCTTCTATCATGAGCACTCCCATACAACACACAGGGAAGCTTTACATCTTTGCATAACCTTATATAGGGCAGATTTAAGCCTTGAGTTGCATAATATATTTCAGTAGAGCGAGGAGTTGCATAGGCGTTTAAAGGGACACATGCTAAGGGTTACAGAGAAGGAAATAAGCAGCAGTAGCATAAAAATAAGTTAAATATTGGTAGTTTGGGCGTAAGTGGTTCACAAAGCTACATATTGTACACATATATAAAAGTATGGCACTGGATACATGGGATTAGATAAAGCTTTAAGGCCATATAGTTTGCCCACAGTAACTCTGATAATTATTCTTAAAGGTGCTACATAAGAAATATTTTACAGATGGACAAACTTATATGTGTTTCATCTCAAACAATCATTTACTTGATATAAAGGATCTTACCAACCAGTGGTTAAAAGGGACACAAAATTAGTTCAGAAAATGCTTTACAACTTCTCAAAACACATCTCAAATATATATATAGTTTTAATAATAACTAACACACCAATAATAAGTCAACTCCACAATACAGTTTCTAGTTTCCAATACTTTTAACCAAAACATGACAGCACCTTATTGCCAATGCAAATTTACACAAAATAAATCTTAAACAGTATGTCTCTCCGCAAGTTATCAAAACTTATCAAAAAAATATTTTAAATGTGAATAAATGTAAATGGTGTTTAACTGCTTTTACTACAGTATATTGTAAATGGAGCTACTTATAAAACAAACGATATTGTCTATAAATTTTATGAACTAAGCAAATGCCAGGAAAGAATTTTTTATCCAATCAGAGGGCTTGTTGGATGAGAACTATTTGGAAACAGCTACTTGTGACAATCGCGCAGAGTAGTTTTTCTGTCATGGTTCGACATCAGAGTGAGGAGGGGGCTAAGTGGTTATTTCTGAATCGTGTTGTAACTCATGGTTCAAAATCCGATTCAGTCTAACTTGAGTAACAATTAAAGCTTCAGATAGAGCAGTGCATACGGTTAGCATCACACCCAAGGGAATGTCGATGATATAAGCTGCAAAGTAAGCCAATTACATGCGTGGTAGTGCGTATCTTCCATCAATTAACTTTTAACTTCCACTATACTAAGTTGAAAAACACATTCAGTAGCTACATGGTTAAAAATAAAGCTTGAAAACTTGATTTGGTCAGTGTTGCCGTGGTAACGTGCCACTAAAGTCAATAGCAATGCACCTTTAAAGGAACATGACCAATCTGTTTGAACTTTTCTTAGCATGTTAACTCTGGTGTTTAAAATGAGTATATTACAAGAAAAAACTTGAAACTTGATTTGGTCAGCGTTGCCGTGGTAACATGCTTGTTAAAGTCAACAGCAATAGCTCGAACCTGCGCCAAAAAGGGGAGTTAAAAAAACGTGCGTCAGGGTGCGGAGGCGTTTTAAGAGGGTGTGAAGAGAGCTCAGATAAAAACAAGGCCTGGAACACTGGATTTTAATGGGCCATAAAAAGGTGTTGTGTCCAGGGTGGATTTCCAAGCTTTAGATTTACAGTTCAAAGTGTTGGCGTCGTGAAGGAACTCGAGAGGAGCCAAGAAAATGCCAAAGACACACTCCATTGTACAGTTAAGAGTTAGCTGGCTGTGAGAGAATAAGTAGTTTTGATCAAAGCAGCACTAGCTTTGAGGGATTTAAAGGTGCATTGCGCAACTTTTCTGGCAGTGTCCGTCACCTGCTTGTCTTCATGAAGATGGAGGTTAGACAGATTTAATAATGGTCTTTTACCTATATCAGAACTAGAAAAAGACCACATGTTTAATATTTAAATATATATTTTATCCTTTTGTGGCTTGAAAAAGTGGAGTAATGCAACTTTAAACGTCCTATATTATGCAAAATTTACTCGTGTTTCCTCCTCAAAAACATACCTGGGGTGGTGTTTTGTTTCATTCACACATGTTTGAGTAGCACTTTCGTATTAGTCTGTGTACATCTCCAAAGCTCAAAATGCTCTGTTCCACCTTGTGATGTCATGTAGTGATAGTTTTTTCAAATTAACAGCCACCTTTCACCTTTTCTTTAGCAGAGATTGCAAATTTCGAGGCTCAAATTATCCAATTAATTCTAGTGAAGCTGTATGGACTTTAAAAACAGAGTGGAGCACTTCCTGTATTACCACATGACATCACAAGGTGGAAGAGAGTGTTTTAGGTTTGAGAGAGCTCACTAAATATGCAGGGTTTGTGTGTAAACATGCGTGAATGAAACAAAACAAAACTCCAGGTATGTCTGTGATGAGGAAACAGCATTAAAACCTAAATCAGAAAATAGTATAATATAGGTCTACGAAATCTACAAAAGCAGCTTGACTTTCTATTTGTCTGAGCAAAATGAAATATGTATCCTAACAACACAAAATAGACTAATTATAGTTCACACATGGTTGTCCTAAACCTGTTTACATGCTGAAATGATTCTCTTGATTGTGTTTGATAGGTGACAGGTGCAGAGCCACAGAGGGCTTTGGACAGGCGCCAGCTCCTGCCCTGGCAGGTGTAAAGGGATAAAGGATGAGGCAGAGTTATCACAGAAATGACCATCTCGAGTCCAGGTCTGAAAAATGAGCCAAGAATTTCCTATCTGATGTTACGGCGTTTTAACAGAAATCTGCTGTGTCTGATCCTATTATGTTTCATTAGTCTGATTTGGGAGACCAAGATTGAATGATATGATAAAACAAGACATTTTTCAGTTTCGGTTTGTCTGCGTGGATGTAATGTGCAATTTATTATAATAGAAATATACAATATATACTTAGAAATACAAGTTATGTTAAAAGTGCATTGTGTAACTTTTCTGGTGGAGGGATTGTCCGATGCTTTTCTCTGTGAAGATGTTACTTTTTTGTCTGGAATGTTTCACAGTATGGCATTAAACTTTTCTATCATCAAGACCAAACCAGACCAAGTTACAAGTCAGATCTGTGGAGAGGCAACCCCGCTCACAGTCAGAATGTCAGTTTTTCTAGGTATTTTTGAACTATAAAACCATCTGTAATTGAATAAATGTAAGGTAAAGTTGTTTAATGTCATACTATGGAACATTCCAGGCTGAGCAGTGACATAACCATAGAAACAAGCAGGTGATGAACCCCTAACCAAAATGTTACATAGTTCACCTTTAAAAAAAAAAAAAAAAAAAAAGATTTCTAACCAGTTAATGTGCGCTTTGACATTAACTTTAGTCTTAGGTGGAGTAAAATATTGCATTTCCTTTGGCATAATAAGGAAAAATAAAAAGTAAAATAAAGATATGTTGTTATATTTGAAGATATAACTTATCGGGTTTTACATTAAAGGTGCACTGCGGAACTTTTCTGTTGTCTACAGGTCAGATATGTGGAGTAGCAACGATTATCTCACTCGAAAAGGGTATTTTGTGCAATAAAAAAAAACGTATTAAACTGAACGCTACATGGATATGTTGATTACCATACTACAACATCTCCATGGAAACAATCAGAAACCCCACCTGAAAAGTGACAAAGTGCACCTTTACATGCAGCTTTTGTACATTCAATTCTTTAAGCTTTGGCGCAGTGCTATAAGATATTTCAGCATTACAGTACATTAATAACAGGTCAAAATAATGTGAAGAAATATATATCAAGATTAGGCCTTCTTTAAAAACCCCCAAAAATCATACATACATGTGGTCTTAGGTGGTCTCAGGTAGTTTTAGGTGGTCTTATGAGATCTTAAGTAGTCTTAGGTGGTCTTAGATGGGCGTAGGTGGTCTCAGGTGGGCGTAGGTAGTCTCAGGTGGGCGGGGGTCCCTGGTAGCGCAGCATGATGTTGAAGGAGCGAGCGAAGTTGTTGGAGAGAGAGCAGGAGTTGGAGTCTTCAGGGAGAGGCAGTAAGAAGGCGAGGAGGAGGAGGGCGAGGAGGAGGAGCCACAGAGGGAGGGCCAGGCAGCACACGCGGTACAGTAAACTCGGCTTCTGGAAAACACAAAACAGAACTGATGTTAGAATGGGACTGGTATAACAGTGTTTTGTTTCTGCATACATCTCCTCTCGTTTTGCACCACAATCCAGAGTGCCCTATACACAAATCCACTCGGGTGTCCCAGCACGACTTCAGTAAACTACAAAGCCGCACCACCCGCAGCGCACGCAAACACACATGGAGCAGACAGTGACCGTGCAGTGAAACACACCGGCAGCCACACTCATCACTCCACGGGGGCAAGGAATGAAATGGAGGAACGACCCGAAAAAGCGAGTGCAATGTGCCACTTCTAGACACAACTGAACAACTGAGTCACTGCAAAAATGCCGACAATCCAGCGGTCCCAGACAGCACCCTCCCTACACGCCACAACTGAACAAAGCTGAGAGTCACCGTGAACGCACCAAAAAAAGTCAGACTCAGCCATCTAACTGTTGTGTTTCGTTTAAAGTCTGGTGAAGTTTATTTGTGAAAAAAGTGTGAAAATAGACCATTCAATGACAGTGCGCCTTATAATCCAGAGTGCCCTATAGTGCAGAAAATGCAGTAATTTAAAATAGCATAAAAGAATAACACAAAAAAAGCTGTCATTACAAGTTCTCTTTGTTAATGAAGTCTGTCCACGGTTTCCAGTTTTCCTCGTATTTGTCATGTTCCAGTCTCGTCACAAAAGTGAGTCTCTCCATTTGGGAGATTTCTTTAACCAGGTCTATCCAATCTTTCAGTGTAGGTGATTTATCTGTCATCCATTTTTTTTGGTTATTGATTTTTTGCTTTCCACCAACAATATATTCCACGTGTATTTTTTACGAGCTCCTTTAATGCAGTCTGGCTGTTTGCCTAAAAACATATATTCAAAATTTAAAGGTATGTTTGGTCCAAAAACTTTATCCACACTTTGTTTAATTTCCTCCCCAGTAAAGAGACAATTTAGCACCCTAACCCTCTAAAAAACATGACCTGCCTATTTCATTCCACGTAACCTCTAACATGATGAGTCTGCATTTGAGCCTTTCTGTGCCGGTGTTTAAAAGAAACGCACCACAAACTGTTGTCGAAGTTTTCAGCTTGTCCAAGAAAGGGTGGAAGTAAAAGGCTGGAGACCAACTGGATGTTTTAAGCACGAGAAGTTTATTTACCACCAATAATACAGGCCCGGGGGAACTTGAAAAGTCAACATAGCATGATTTCAAAAGAGAACATGGTATGATCTTTGCGTGTTCAAGTCCCTTGACTCTGTTTCCAAAAGAGGAGGCTTATAAAGCAACTGGTGAGACTATGAAGGCCAGTAGACACCAGTGAGTCAGCATTTAGTGAGACTATGAAGGACACCAGTTTGACAGCAATATGCCACAATTTAGACAATGGTTTGCCAATGGTATTCCAAGGGAGGAAGATCATGGTGTAAATATAGCTTTTGTGAGTCAATGTTAAGCTGAGATGTACGTGGAAGATAAATTACAGTCTTATAGTCTTCTGGAACAATCATTTTTGGGGTCAATATTTATCATGGGTACTTTTCTTTGTACTAGTGGAAAAATGTAGTTTTTGTTTTTGTGTTCTAGAGTGAGATTTGAGTTGTATTATGAACGTCTTTGACTATACACAAGCAAACTATGTAAATGTACATCGAGTAACTTTTCTGGTGGAGGATCCGTCAAATGTTTTTCTTCATTGAGATGTTTTTGCTTTGTCTGGAAAGTTTCACAGTATGACATTAAACCTTTCTATCTTCATGGAGACCAAACCAGACCAAGTGACAAGTCAAATCTGCGTAGAGGCGATCCCGCTCACAGTCAGAATGCCTGTTTTTCTAGGTATTTTTGAGCTATAAACCACCTGTAATTGAATAAATGTAAGGTAGAAATGTTTAATGTCATACTGTGGAACATTCCAGGCAGAGCATTGACATAACCATAGCAACAAGCAGGTGACGGACCAAAAAGTTACACAATGCATCTTTAAATATTGTTGTGACGCTTTGCCCAATCAGCTTCATATATTTGTTTTGACATTCCAATGGTTTCCGAATCATTAGCGTTCCCTGATGGAGCCTTATTGATGTGTAGCTCTCATTCAGACATTATAAATCTCCCGTTAGCCAGGTTAGGTGAGACGCTGCAGTTAATCCTAATTATAAACACTTGTGAATGTGTGGAGGCTCTGAAGTTCATTTCTGCCGTTCTCCAGTGAGCCGCTCCTCTGAATAACAAACACAAGACGGATGAGAGTTTGAATCTGGGCTCTTAATTAGTCCATTACCAATAAACCATTTGTTCTTCTTTGTAAAACAACCCCCAGCAACATTTATTTAGCTCAATCAGGGCCGCTAATCAAGAACAAGAAGGATTACACTGGTGTTTTCTTTAGATTTCGACCCAAGATGCTTTACACTAATCTAAAAGGATGTCATGAATTATGTTTAAATTGGAAAATGAAGTCATCAGCTGGACACTGGACAAACTGCTCTCCATTATGGACACTGCTGCTCATCCACTGCACCAGGCTAAAGAAGGACAGAGGAGCTCATTCTCCAACAGGCTCCTACAGCTCCACTCAAACAGTGAGAGATACACGACTACATTCAGACCATACTCCATACAACTGGACAACAACTCACCCTTATGTAACAGATAATACTCCCTACAAATGTACAACAACTCACCTTTATGTCAGAGATAACCTTGTTCCATATCAATCATCATACCACCTTTGCACTGTTTCTCCAAATGACCTCTGGTATATAACAGAGAGATATTTTTATATTACTCTATACTTATGCACATACATTTAAATAAATAATGCCTTAATTAACACGAGTCTCTACTTTATTTTAATATTACCATTTATATTTTTGCTCTTTGTTAATATAATTGCAATATATTGTGACGTGTGAGCTACTTTGTCCAAATAATTGGCCTTGTGGATCAATATTTTTCTTTAGTTTGTGTAAGTCTAAGTCAGCGGTTTTCAATAGGTGAGGTGTGCTTCCCCAGGGAGGAGCCAAAGAGCCACTGGGAAGGCGCGACACAGGCGGACTAAACCAGGACTGATCCCAGGACTGAACTAGGACTAAACCAAGACTAAAGCAGAACTGAACCAAGAACCAGAGCTCCACGCCTCACGGAGGTAAGCACAGCCGTCGTCTGATCACGCTTTGTGGACACCCTGCTCTGCAGGCTTGGGGTAGAGCACTGCTCTCCCACAGGTCCTGACACAAAACAGTGTGGCGCAGGACACATTTTGAAAGCTTATTGAGGGTGCAGTTGGGACAAAATATCGCAGACGAGGGTGGGAGCATGAATAAAAATTACAATTCTTTGTGGGTGGGAGTGGGACTGCACAATAGGTGTGCGGGCGGGAATGAGACTGAAAATTCTGTCCCGTGCAGACCTCTAACTTGGGGTTTTCCCTCTCTCTCTCAAGTCCAAGATTAGTCCCGGTTTAGTCCTGGTTTAGTCCTGTTACCTACTGATGTTCAGTGATGTTAAAAGTCGCAAAAATCATTTATGAATGCACTTTTAAAAAATATGAAAATACAATATTAAAAAATATATATTATCAGTTGTTATTGAAACTCATCATTACCAGAAACACAAAAGATGAATTTACTATTTATTTATTTAAAATCAAATCAGATTATCTTCCACTTTACTTTTCACCTCCACTTGTTTCCATTTCCATATGTTCACAAACTTTCCCTTGCAACTGATGTCATCAACATTCACATTGCTCTATGTGAAGCTCTGTTACTCTACTTAGACTTGAATCCGAGCTTTATTTTACCACAATCTGACCATTAGCTGGAACTACAGGCGAGCTGATTTTGTGCAGTTAAACAAGTCCCTCTCAGTACAGTCAGAAGCTAGCCAAAATTATCCAACAGTTTTTCAGTTAGTCACTCTTGCCTTTTTTGTTGAAAATCAAACACCAAAACAGGATCACGAACACTCGTATTGATCACAGGCTCCTGAAATAGTTTTTATTTTTTATAATCCATTTTGTATTATTATATATTTTTTTCAGTCTAAAAACTTTCCTTATATGTGCATTGTGTTACCATGGTAACTGCTGAATATTCCTCCTATATAAACGTACATGCAGTAGCAAAGATGCAAAAAAAAACCAAGGCACTCACTGGTTCAAAATAAAATGCCTTTATTAGTTTACGGCATGTCTTAAAGGTTGTATAGAGGATTTTCCAAGGAACGAGAAATCCAGCGACTGTTTGTCCTTTTTCAAATGTTGCGCATGCGTGAAACCACCCCCCCCTCCCCTACAGCTCCTACGTAGAAACGCCTTCTCCCGCCTCCTCTTTACGCCAGAAACAGGTTTGTTTACAGCCGGTGAGCTGCACATGACTTGTAAACAACTAACTACAGTGTTGGTTAGGCAAGACGGAGAAGTGAGGAGCGGGGGGAGGGGGGGCGCGGACATTTCGTTCGCGGACGAGAAGTGAGGAGCAGGGAGAAGAGCGGAGCAGGGAGAGGAGAGAGGAGAGGGGAGCGGTGCGCGGAGATTCCGTGCCCGGAGAAGTGAGGAGCAGGGGGAAGAGCGGAACGGGCAGCGGGGACAGGAGTAGGAAAGGGGTGCAGAGAAGAGTGCGCGGAGATTCAGTGCGAATGAACTAGCTACAACACGCAGCAGCAAGCGGACTCTTTCTTTGCCTTGAAAATTACGTTTTCAGACATAGGATATCGCTTTCGTGTCCTGAAAAATGTTTGTCTAGCTCTTGGAAATAAAGTACGTTTTCATAATAAGCAGAAGTTACCTGTCCAGGAGTAATTTGTGGACCAGTGCGTCAGTCTTTAGACCCTGCGTCTGCTTCAGTCGCGCCATCGCTGGAATGAATCTTCAAGAATCACCTTAGTTTGGCTTCGCTGCTTTTCCCCTTGTCTTCTTCTTTCAGCGACCTCAAAAACTGACTTTCTTCTGCGGCTAACTGCTCCTGGATTCTTGTCTGCCATTGCAACAAACTTTGTGCTAACTG